CTGTTGTGAGTCTACCATGTGTCTGTTTTGTGTCTACCATGTGTCTGCCATGTGTCAACCATGTGTCTACAATGTTTCTTTTGCATCTATTGTATGTCTTATGTGGCTTCTGGGTGTCTGCTGTGTATATGTGGAAAGGCAAGTGCAGTGTACACAGTGTTGTGTTTCCATAGTAGTTCTAGTTGACATCAGTTTTATGTTTACAATTACAGACCTGTGCAGAAAGCTTTAAAAAACAAACAAACAAACTGAAAACAACCAAATATAAAAACAGAAAGCAGGAAAATTCATCCTACGTTTCACTTCCAGTCTGGAATAAAAAAATCTCTCTTGGGTACTCGTTCATGACCCCACCAACACCTCCATGATGTGGTCCAATTCTGTTAGATCTATTTTAAAAGGCTGACTGACTGAAACTTGGGGGGCGGAGCCACTGTATGGCGACGCCAGTGATTTGAGTAAGTCATCTGTGTTCATCACTGGTGACAACTTTGTCAGGCCGCCGCCCGTTGCAACGCCCACAGCCCCCGCCGTTGTGCAGGGATCAAAATCATACATGGATGTGTCGATATCAGCGAACAGGACATCATCCAACGCCAAGTCTGACAGGAAGCCCGAGGGCGAGGAAGAAGTAGGAGAGGACAAAGCAGAGGGACAAATGTCTTCGAGACTAGCAGGGGTGTGTGCGGGGGGAGGGTCTATCTGCCGGAGTTCAGCACTACGACTCTCCACCAGAAACACAGTAGATGCCTCTGTTTTAACAGCCAAAGTCTTACAGTCTCTGAATGAGCCTGTGGGGCGGGGCACTGACTGAGGGGGTTGTGTGGGGGCGGGGGAGGTAGTTGTGGTTGTAGAATTAGCTGCTGCTGTCCTTGTTCTGTCTATGGAAAGAACTGACTCCATGTCTCTCAGAGTTAGCAGTGGACTGTCAGGCACAAGGACCCCGAGGGACACATGTCTCCCCGGGGAAGGAGACATGGGGGGCGTGGGTGGTGAGGGGGGGCCATCCTCTTCCAGGAGAGAAGCTGGAGTGAGGCAGGCCTCCAGCCGATGGGACGCCTGGCAGCTGGGAGGCACCACGGGGTGGTGTGAAGGCGGTGAAGGCGATGAAGAAGGTGGGGGGATCACTTGCATCAGTAGAGCAGACGGCTGTGATCCACCTCCTGACAGAACGCCAAACGACGGCGGCGCCTCCCGGAAGCCCTCATCCATGGGGTCATCAGGCGGTGGTGAGGGCGGCAGCAACAGCGGCCGTAATGATCCTTCCTGTTTGAGCTCATCCTGGATCCGTCGCAGCATATTGTTGATGAGCACGCGGCGCTCCAGGCGCAGCTCTCCAAGCGGACGCTGGCTGTACAGCTTCATCAGGGAGATGTTGAAGATGGTCTGTCTCTGCAGGGTGTAGGACACCTTGGAAAGACCTTCAAGGCTGACACCTACCAACCCTCCAGCGGGCGCCTCCAACGTTTTGCCTTCCACCCCCTCTTCATCCTCATCCAGTTTCCGCTTCGCACCTTTACCCAACATATATCTGAAAAACACAAAGGCAGAAAGAGACCGTAGATAAGTCAGTACTTCAGTAAGAAATCTCAAGAACAAAATATTTCCACCCAAATTTAGTTCTATATTTTTTCTTAAATGCATTTGTTTTATTTTTCTCGATTTTGGGGTTTGGAATTTAACCACACACTTGACTTTTAGTTTACCCTAAAATGTTTATTAAAAAAGTGAATTATACTATTTTAACAGTTTAATATAAAAATCAATAATGTATGTATATTTTTAAATTTAATTGAAATTACAGCAAAAATGTTTTAACAGAACATTAAAACAGAACATTTAATGCTTCATTAAGGCATATAAAATCCAACTGCAAATATTTATATTCAAAAAGAAACGTCTCGGTTTTTCTGTCAAATAAAATTAAAAGAACATCCAAACATCTAGTCATCAGAATACTGCTGCTTAGCTTGTCATTTCATCAAAACATTACTTATGTCTCTACTGTTAGTTTGTAGAACGAATGTCAAAAGTTAAAGATTGTAAAAAAAAAAAAGAAAAAGATGAGTGTCAACCATGACACTGTAGATGCAACTGAAGCTAATCCAGCAAACTGAGATTAAAAAACTGTACAGACACTGAGAACACAAATGTGCGCTTCAGCACATGTTTGTCGTTCTATCTTTACGGGGACTTTGCATTGACTTCTATTAATTTTTCATTAATTTCTATAACCTAACCATGATCTTTCTCTAAACCTAACCCCTAACCCACCAACAGCACTTCTTATGTGGCCTGGACTTTGGGCCCCAAAATAAGTGCAGTTGGTCCTCAAAATGTAGTATGTGTTGGAAAAATGGGCCCCACAAGCTGACAAATACAAACACACACACACACACACACACATACTGAGTTATGCAAGAATAGCTCTGTCTACTGTAGCAGCATAACAGGGCAGATTTAAAGCTCTCCCTCTCATCATATTATGGGCACACTGAGTGACTTGCTGTGGTAAGGGGTGGTGGTGTGGGGGAGGTTGTGTGAGGGGCAGTCATAAGCATTTTTTCCCATTGTTCAGTGTTGCCACGACTCAGTTTATCAAAAAACCCAGAGAGCCACCTCAATGTGGGCAGGATTATCATAGCGTGGCTGCTCAAAACATCTGCAATGTTAATTTCTATCTAAGGCAAACACAACAATGAGCAAATAAATGAAATAAAATCATAACACGATCACATTCTCATTCATATATATATATATATATATATATATATATATATATATATATATAT